GGTTAAAAGCACTGACTGCTCTCCCAGAGGTCCTGAGTTCAATTCCCAGCAACCACATGATGGCTCACAGCCATCTATAATGAGATCTGGTGCCCTCTTCTGGTGTGCAAACATACATGAAAGGAATGTTGTATTCATAATAAATAAATAAATCTTTAAAAAAAAAAAAAAGAATCACTGCTTCCAAGTTCCTGAGTAGGAGTTTGAAGGACAGGACACTTGAGTTGTAGACAGGAAACAAGACTAAGGAGAACACATCTGGGCTGGGGAAGCTAGGAAGTAACTGGATCTGTGAACTGAAAGGAGCCTCTTGTGAACTGGAAATCTTCTAAAGAGACCACCTCTCAGGGATCGGTAAGCCTTGGGACATTTCCAGAGGTGAATTTTTTCTTTCTGAGCTTTGGGGAAGTGAATGGAGGAAGTTGGGAGACACTGTTCATCTAAAGATAAAACACCAACCCGTAAGGCAAGAAAATGACTGGAATGCCTGCCGAGAGATGCCGTGGCTATTGGCTGATGTAACTGAATTGCTCTGCACTGCTCAGAGGACCAGCAGCAGTCAGGTTAAGTTAATTGCTCTTGTTTACAGTGACAACTTAATTACCTTGAACTTGATTTTGCATAACTTAACACAGTGGTAAAGCTCAGTTTTTGAGTCAAAAATACCTGAGTTAAAAACTCTAGTTTTACTAGACAGTGGTGGCATACACCTTTAATCCTAGCACACAGGAGGCAGAGGCAGGCAGATCTCTGAGTTTGAGGCCAGCCTGAACTACAGAATGAGTTCCAGGATATCTAAGGTTGTATAGAGAAACCCTGTCTCAAAAGAACAAAACCAGAAAACAACCTCTAGTTTTGCTTCTTTGTAGCTGTGGGTGTAGTCCTTGACAGCCTGGTAAGGGATGGGGGATGCAATCACTTAAGCAAGCAAGCGACACCCTGGTTAAGAGAACCCCATTTCCCGGGTAACCAATGCTTGCATGTCTGAGAGAGGGAAATGCAGTGAAGGCAGTTGTCTATTCTTATCAAGCCCCAGTGAGTAATTCTCATTGGTTAAAATTAGAATATTACTTTTTGAAAGAAGTGGAATGATGGGCTGAAATCTTTTTAGGGTGTTTACTTTTTAGACAAAGTCTTACAGTGTAACCCCGGCAGGCCTGGAACTTAACTGTATAGACCAGGTTGGCCTTGAATTCACAGAGATTTGTCTGCCTCTGCCTCCCAAGTGCACCACCATGCCTGGCAAGGCATATTTTCAAATCTACTACCTAATATTCAAAGCATCTTCCACTCCTACTTTTAGATTAAGGTTATAATCCTATGTGCTGACAGAAGATATAAGAGGAAAGAGACAATATATGGGTATCCTACACCTAAAGACATCCTTAAGTCTCTGAATACTGTCTAGTTCTATGCTCTAAACAACTTTTGCCTACCCCTAAAAGCCTCAGTTTTGATATACATTTATTTTTTAAGGGTCAGTTTACTAAATAAAGAGCTTTTGTTTTGTGTAGGGGTCAGTGGTTATTTGTTTTGTTTTGTTTTGTTTTTAGACAAATTCTGGCTATGTATCAGTTGATGAGGCCTTGTGATCCCCCCGTCTCAGCCTCCCAAACACTGGTATTACAGAAGTGTGCCATTGTACCTGGAAAGAAAATAATATTTTTAAAGTTGTTTGGTGACTTTAATATGACAGCGTCTGGGAGAAGCTCTGCTTTAGTGGTCTATATTATGGCCAGCTATAGAACACTTCCCATTCAATCCTGGTTGCCTTTGTTTTTTGTCTTCTGTGTAGATCTGGAGTCCATACAAGCAGCCAGGATGTACAGGAGACCTTGACGGTCGGATTGAAGATGATTCCCGCTGCCTCTACACCCATGAAGAGTATATCAGCCTTGTACTGAACAGTGGGAGTGGCCTGTCCCACGACTATGCTAACCAGTCGGTCCAGGAAGACCCCCGGATGATGGCTTTCTTTGACTCTTTGGTGCGCCGCGAGATTGAGGGCTGGAGCTCCGACTCAGACAGTGACCTCAGCGAGAGCACCATCCTTCAGCTGCATGCAGGGGTCAGTGAGCGCTCGGGCTACACTGACTCAGAGTCCTCAGCCTCACTGCCCCGCTCCCCACCTCCCACAGTAGACGAGTCTGCCGACAATGCCTTCCACCTGGGGCCCCTGCGAGTCACCACCACAAATGCTGTAGTGTCAACCCCAGCAACGCCAACGTGTGAGGATGCGGCATCTCGCCAGCAGCGCCTATCTGCTCTGCGTCGCTACCAGGACAAGCGCCTCCTGGCCCTGTCCAATGAGTCTGATTCTGAAGAGAATGCCTGTGAGGCTGAACTGGACACAGATCTCTTCCCTCGGCCAAGGTCGCCCAGCCCCGAGGATGGATCCAGCAGCTCCAGCAGCTCCAGCAGCTCGGAGGAAGAAGAGGAACTGAACCAACGCCGAGCCACCACTCGGCAGCGAAATGCCATGCGGAGGCGGCAAAAGACAGCCCGGGAAGAGCGGCCCAACGCTCCAGTCAAACCCACTAACACCTACATTGGAGAGGACAATTACGACTACCCCCAGATCAAGGTAGATGATCTCTCCTCCTCCCCAAACTCCTCCCCTGAGCGGAGTGCTTCCAATCTGGATATCCAACCAAGTCGGGCCCCACCAACTGCCAACATGGAATCAGTGGAGCGAAAGATTTATAAAGCTTACAAGTGGCTCCGCTACTCCTACATCTCTTACTCGAATAACAAAGATGGAGAAACTTCCTTAGTGGCAGAGGAGGCAGATGAAGGGAGAGCAGGAACCAGTCCCAAAGACAACCCAACCCCTTCTTCCAGTAAGGAAGCCTGCCCAACCCAGAGAGACCAGGACCTGACCCCTGAAGGCTGCAGCAAAGATGCTTGCAAAGAAGGGACTTCCACCAGAAACCCCAGCGGTGGCGCAGGCCGTGAGCACGGTAGCCATCCTTGGGCAGAGGTGTCAGAGGGCACCTCTCAGGACACTAACAGTAGCAGCCCTCTAGAACACTCTTTTGAAACCAAGAAGCTCAATGGAAAGGCCCTGAGCAAGGTCCTGAGCAGCCGGACTGAGGAGCCACCCTCTCCTGTCCCCAAAGCATCTGGTTCCACTCTGAACAGTGCGTCTGGCAACTGTCCTAGGACCCAGTCTGATGATAGTGAGGAAAGGAGCCTTGAAACCCTCTGTGCCAACCACAACAATGGACGCTTGCACCCCCGACCCCCTCACCCGCACAACAATGGGCAGAACTCTGGGGAACTGGAGACCGTGGTCTACTCTTCCCCAGGACACCCAGACACTGACCATGATAACCCATCCCTGACAGGGACACTTCTGCACAAAGACTGTTGTGGGTCTGAAATGGCCTGTGAGACCCCCAGTGCTGGAATGAGAGAAGACCCCACTGACCCCTCAACCATGGACAGCAGCAAGGGTGTTCATGACCACAGTGGCCTCAAAAGGCATCGAATTGAATTGGAAGACACAGATTCAGAGAATTCCTCTTCAGAGAAGAAATTAAAAACATGATTAAAAAAAAAACAAAGGGAAAACAAAAAGCTACAAAAAGTAGCCTTGCAAAATAATTTTTTCTTGTTTAGTGAACGCAGAGGAAAGGAAAAAGTATTAAAGGCACATAAAACCGGGGCCTGAGCCGTGTCTTCTGCCGCTCCTTCTGTTCACCATTCTCCAGTGGGTCTGAATGTCTAGCTGGCTCTGTCTGTGCTCTGCTGAGAGTAGGAAACTCCCAGTGCCTCTTCTCTAGTGAGATGCGAGCATAGCATTCCTCTGAGGCTCTGTGACAGTGGTCCTGTTTGGGACGTTTGGCTTATTGTGTGTATGTACCCACTGGCACATGTGGGCTTGTTGTCTTATGAGGCCTTTCTTTTAACTGTCCGTCAGCAAAGTCCTGTGGCTCTGTAGCTTTTGCCATTTCGCCTGTTCATTGTTTACATGACATAGGTGTTCTGGTCTTAACAAAGAGTGTCCTCTAGATCAGATTGTGCTGCAGTGAGTTGTAGATTTACACTAGCAAAAAGGAGAGGCCTGCCTTCAGCTCATTGGCTGTGCTGAAGAGGAAAACATGACTCCTCTTTAAATGCTTCATGTTTTCTCCAGCTAACACATCGTTGAGCATTTACTATGACTCTTAAGTGGAACATTGTTCCTGCTAAGAAGAGGGTGACACTTGAGCACAGATCCTGATAGTGTCGCTGTTTGCAGAAGGGGTAGAGTTACACTCTGTGCTGTGAGATCCTTACAACCACATAGTGCTGGCTTCTAAGAAGCGCTCAAGGCCAGCAGGTGCTTCCTTGGCTCCAGGTAATGGAGTTCAGGCATCCTGAAAGAAGAAAGGACCCCTCAGGAGAACTTTTTACCCAAACTAATAAATTGACTGGTAGAGGGATACTAATGAGTTGTAGTGAAGAGTGGAATGCGGTACTGTATCCAGTGCCAGTCCGTCAGTCAGAATGTGACTGTATCCAGTGCTAGTCCGTCAGTCAGAATGTGGTACTGTATCCAGTGCTAGTCCGTCAGTCAGAATGTGACTGTATCCAGTGCTAGTCCGTCAGTCAGAATGCGGTACTGTTTCCAGTGCCAGTCCATCAGTCAGAATGCGGTACTGTTTCCAGTGCCAGTCCATCAGTCAGAATGCGGTACTGTTTCCAGTGCCAGTCCATGAGGCAGAATGCGGTACTGTATCCTGTGCCGGTCCGTCAGTCAGAATGCGGTACTGTATCCAGTGCCAGTCCATGAGGCAGAATGCGG